GATGAACGGAGCATTTGACAGTAAGGTCTGAATTAGGTCAGTGAGTTGAGTCTGAGGGAGTGGGCCATGGGGCAGGTGGAGTTAAGGGCTTGTGTACGTGAACTGCGACACCAGGTCGATACTGATGGCATAACCAGGAAAGGGAGAACAGTGCTTTGGCTGGAGTGATCATGAGGCGAGAGCTGCTTCTCTTGGCAAGGGGAACCCACTCACCCCACCCTACAGTGTCAGAAATCCAAAGCTACTTGGGCCTTGGTGCCATAACCAGAGAAGGAGAAGGTACTTCTAGTAGGGGAAGATTGGGGCTCAGGAAGTGCTATCTGCAGGAGATGATATTTAGCTAGGAATAAAGGGTGTGTCAGAGCTAGCCAGCTGGAAACTGGGGAGAGAAATGTGTGTAGGCAGAGCAGAGCCTTAGGAGGGGCTGGGCAGTAGAAGAGACAAAAGCTCAGGGTGGCCGAAGCCCAGAGAAGGGGTTGGTTCTTGGAGTGGCCCAGAGTGAGGGCGCAGAGTAAGGAGGGCTGGCTTGCTGCGGACTTACAAATTCTTTCAGGAGCTTTGGAGGTCTCTTGAAGGGTTTCAGGTCTGTGTCCTAGAGCAGTGTTACCACTGTAGAGACTGAGCTTCAGGACTTTTCTAGAATAGCATTTTGTAAACCCTGGTGCAGGACCTGTTTTTGGTGTTTTGTTTCTTAAAATTTTCATTTTGTTGTAGAAAGTACATCTTTGCAAATACAGTAAAAATGTGAGTCATGAAACATCAAATTATTATCAAAGTGCCAAAACGCTTCCTACACCATTTCTGTACTGGTGTAGTCTTAGTATCACCCAACTGGTCCTTGGACCACACTTTGAACAGCACTATGGCATCCATGTAGAGAAGGGGCAGAGGGGACAAGACTGGATGCAGAGACCAGTTTCCAGGATGATTCAGGTGACAACAGAGTCATGGCAGTGACAGCACGGACATGGACAGATCAGAATGTGATTTAGGAAGCTGACTTGACAACACGGGATGACTCATTAGTGTGAAATGCAAGGGAGAGAGGAGAGCATGTATCTTCTAGGTTTCTAGCTTGGGTATGTGGGCATAGCCATGCCAGCCACAGATCAGGAGCAGGGCTGAGTGGGGTAGGAGCATGGAGCAAAAAGAAACTCATGCTTGTGTAAGGTGCTGTGGAAAGCCAATGGGCTTTTTAGGCTATAGTTAGGTCCAAAGCTCGAGGAATCCAGGTGGAGATGCTAGATAAAACAATCATGATGTGCAGATTATAATTGCAGCCACAGAACTATATCAAATTCCCCTGGGAGCTGCAGAGAGCAGACATCCCAGCATTTAAGGGTCAGAAAGAAAGAGAGGGGTTGTGGGGGCAGCCACACAGGCCAAGTGATACAGGGACCTGAGACATTACTATCAGGCTGAGTAAGGATGTCCCTGGTGGCCATGGGGATAGGGGTGGGTGGCCCGAGCCAGACTACTGTGGCATGAGATAAAGGAGATAAAGTGGAATCTTGGTTGTAAAATTGTTGAGGGGCATGGGATTAAGGGAAAGTTTTTTAGAATGGGAGCCAGGTGTCTTTTAGGTGTTGCTGGGGAAGAGAGAGAAAATGAAATGAGAGCAAGAGAACAGATTTGCTGAAGAAATATACCTGGGACGGTGGAGGGGTGGGCGTCCAGAGGCAAGTCAGGGAGGTATCCCAGAGGGTGCCCTTGGGTGCAAACACCAGAAGGCCCAACCAAACCTAAGCAGTTACTCTGTTCCCCATGATGCGCCTTGGGTGGGACTCAAGAAGGCTCCAGCAGTGTGTTGTCACGTTCAGACCAGACAAGGCCCAAAGGCTGCTGAGGAGGCCATTTTATCCGGCGACCCTTCCCCTCAGAACCCCACTCCCTACCCTGTCCCTTCTCATCCACGCGTCCACCCCGACTCAGTCTCCTGTCAGTGGGATGGGTGTCCCATGCTGGCTTAATCCGAATTGACCCCTGAATGTTGAGGACTCCCCCTTACAGTCAGGAGAAGGAAGATGAGGGGCAGGGTGTCAGGGGCCACATAATGTGCTTAGGGGTGCTGGCCTGCTCCTGCCGTGGGACCACAGATTTCTGGGCTCACTGGCCAGAGTCAGGTAGCTTTGATGTCCTGAAAGTGAGGAATAGATTAGGGAATGGTGTCAGAGGCCAGAGATAGCTTCCGAGGAGGCTGGGGGATTAGGAGAGACACCCTTGGGGTGGGGCTGTTTGTCCCACAGCGGTTGTGGCCTGAGTTTAGCATCAGTTCAGGCCTAGGTGAGGTGGAGAGGGTGGAAGAGGTTGGGCTTGGGATTGGTCTGTGCCAGTGGACGTTGAAGACTGACAGCGTAGGCAAGATAGTGGCAAGATGACAATCCTGAGGTCTACAAAGAGAAGATGGGCACAAAGGTGGAAGGTGGTGGATGGGACACAGGAAGGGAGTGGGGGCTGGGCCCTGGGAGATTGGGGGAATGAGGGCGGGGAAGGAGGGCCAGACTGGGAGTGAGGGGAGACTCTAGTGGGTATGGGGGTGGCTTCAGCATAGTGCAGAGATCTTGTGGTTGGTGAGTGTAGGGAGGGGAGCCCCTGTGGCCTAGAGCTACCCAAGAGGTGACTGATGGGACACCTAGACCCTGGCCATCTTTTCACGGGGCCACTTTTCCTCTTCTCTTGCCAGTCATCTGTAAGCAGCAGGCCCCAGAGCTGGAGCAGGCCACGGCTCTGCCACCCCTGCCACAGCCCCCGCTGGCCCCTGCAGCACCCATCCCACCGGCCCAGGGAGCCCCATCAATGGACGAGCTCATCCAGCAGAGCCAGTGGAACCTGCAGCAGCAGGAGCAACACCTGCTGGCCCTCAGACAGGTACAGAGCCTGCTCCTCCTCTTCCTTCCCACCTGCCCGCTCTGAGATGGGTGTCCTGGGTAGGCCAGGGCCCTCCCCCTCCTCCTCTTGGTCCTAAGGTTGGTACCTGGAGCTCACTCTCTTCTCAGTTTTTGCACCTGCACCTCGAGACTCAGAATAGCTGAGTAATGAGTCAGGAGGACTTGTTACCAAGCATCATCGCTGAGGACAGGGCCACCTAGGGCTCAGTGCATGTCAGCCATCATCATTCCAATGCTGTCATCACCCATGGCATGTTTAGCCCAACCCCTGACACTGGACAGAGTTGCTTCTCATTTCAGTGAAATCATCCCATGAGCTCTTAGCTGAAGTGGACCCCTAGAAGTAGGACTGCATGTTAGAAATTGTGTAACAGAGAATGCCATGTGACCTTTGGTGCTGTTGGCCCTGGCTCCAGTTAGCCAAGTCACCTCCAAAGTGTTGTGGGGAAGGACCTTTCTGTCCTGATACTTCACAGTCTTATACTTTGGCCAAGTACAGTAGGATGAATCAATAAGATCTGAAATACCATCCCCAGATTTATTACTAGGTTTAAGACATAAAATATTGTCATATTGCTCGTAACAAAACATGCTAGATAGCTCGCCCTCAGTTTCCAGACAGAGCTCGTCCTAGGCTTGGTGGTCTGGCCTCAGCCAGCCCTGAGCTGACCACTTGTCCCCACAGCAGCACTGGATCTCAGCTATCTCTCAGTTTGCCAATCTAGTAGGTGAAACCCTGGTGTCCTGTTTTAATTTCCAATTCCCCGGTTGCTAGTGAGGTTGCTCTCCTTTCTCCTGACTAGTGACCATTTATATATCCACTCAGTACTGTTTGTTCACATCATTGGTCGCTTATACTGATGAATTGGTCTGCAGAGTTTCCTTATTCTTTATTTTTCTGGTCTTAATCTTTCCATGTGTCACCTGGAAGTCGGGGGTGGACATTGTCTCTCTCTGTGTCATTTCTTGCTCTATTGTCTGCCTGCTCTGCCTGCTTTAGCCGTGACTGCCTCAGATGTGGGTCTCAGGCTGCAAGTGTGAGGGACAGGGCCTCCTAGTGCTGGCGGTGGGGCACTCACAGTCAGTCTTGGTCCTGCCTGGCCTCCCAGGAGCAGGTGACGGCGGCTGTGGCCCACGCAGTGGAGCAGCAGATGCAGAAGCTTCTGGAGGAGACCCAGCTGGACATGAATGAATTTGACAACCTGCTGCAGCCCATCATTGACACATGCACCAAAGACGCCATCTCGGTGAGGGCACGTGGGCCTGGGTGGGCAAGGTGTGCCGAGAACCTGGTGCTCTTCATAGGTGGGAACCTGCTGAAGCCCGTCTGGGCTGGGGCTGCTCTAGGGGCACCCTCTCTGCCCCTGCCCTTCCGTCTTGAGCACCTCCAAAAAGGAGAAGAAAGTCAGACAGACGCCGCAGCGTGCAGCTGAGCCTTGGGTACCATACCCTCGGCTGTGCCCTGACCTTCCCCACTTCCCCCGGCACCTGTCCAAGCCTGGGCTAGGGGAGCCCAGCTTCGCTCACCTGTCGCCCTGGCTATTACAGGCTGGGAAGAACTGGATGTTCAGCAATGCCAAGTCCCCGCCACACTGTGAGCTGATGGCCGGCCACCTCCGGAACCGCATCACAGCTGACGGTGCGCACTTCGAGCTTCGGCTGCACCTCATCTACCTGATCAATGATGTGCTGCACCACTGGTGAGGGCTCCTCAGGCCCTACCCCCTCCTGCTCTTTCCGGCCCTCACAATTGCTGCTCTGCACTCAGTAGCTTGGCCTGCCCTGGGATGGGGGTCACTTGTCCAGAGACTCTGAGGGAGGGTCGATCTGAGCCACAAGCCCTCCATTGGGAGGACATCCCTACGCCTATCCCTTGGCCCTTCCCTGGACCCCTCACGTCACCTGGGGCCATCATTCTTTTATTCCTTACTCTCCTAGGGCAGCTTCTAGTGTCTTTCAGTGTCGGCTGCCAGCTTCCTCTATTGATAAACATACACATCCCCAATCACCTGACTGCCCTGCTTCAGGGTCCCTCCTGCAAGGTTCCCTTTGTTGGTCCTCTGTCTCAACCCAATGAGTTCAGCCTCCCACTCCCTCTGCCCTCCCCAGGCCAGGCCGGTGTTTACTTCTGCAGGGCTTCTTTGGTGTCTTATGAGAAAGATTAACTTAAGGAACTAGACGCCTGAGCCAAGGCAGGCCCAGGGTGGGGACAGCCAGAAGCATGCAGTGCTAATGAGGCTGGTGTGTGGCTGCTATGTTTGGCTTTGGGCTTGGCCAGCTGAAGGGGACGGTGCCCATGAGGACAGCATAAACTGACCTGCCTCCGTCGGTCCTTTACCTTGCCCCATCTTCTGCCGCACATGTGTCCCAGGTCTCCACCCTCCACACCCCATGCCACACCCGGCCCCTCCTTGCATCATCATTCCTTTATTTCTCTGCTTTTGGGAAATAAGTAGCCTCTTGGAACCTTCTCTGCCTTCCTGCTTCACCCACTGCTCTGCTGACTCCAGGGCAGTTCTGCAGAGATAGCACTGTCCTGTCCTCCAGCCACCCGCCCTGTCCTCCTGCCTGGACTGTTCTTATCCTGACCTGTTTCCTGGCCCCGGGCACTCCTGTCCCTGAGCTCCCTCATGAGCTCAGTGCTGGGAGGGTTTCTAGCCACTTGCCTTCTGCCCCATGTTTTTCCCTGAGAAGTGACAGATATGCCACCCAGACTGCCACTGCCACTCTGGGGGCCCCATGCCACCTCAGTGCACACCCGCAGAAGCCTTACCCATTTATACTCCATGTGCCCATGGGAGGATATGGGGACAGTCCGCCTTATCCTGCCAGCCTCAGGTCCCCAGTGCCAGGCACACCTGGCACATTTCCTCTGCTTCCTGAAACTTGGGGCCTGAGCTGGGGTTTTCTGTATGCATGGGGTGACAATGCTGAGTGAGGCCCCATGTATAAGACCCTGAGCCCACAGCAGTCCTGGCCTGATCTTTGAGAACAGTGGGGTTTTCACAGGTCCCATGTCTGTCCATCCACATGCCACCCCAGGAAAGAAGGGTTATTTTACAAGAAGACCAGGGTGACAGGCCTTGTTCTGAAGGTCGCCAGGCTGTATT